TTTTAATAAAAGGTTTGGAAATAGTTAGGTGTAATGGTCCTTTTTCTAGAAAGCCTTGCTCCATCTCTCAGGCCTGGGGTTGGTGCCCCTGCTTTGGGCATGGGGTGCCTCTCTCCACCACCAACAGGAAAAATATTACCTGTTGGAATTCTCTACTAGACTATAAGCTCCGTGAAGGAAGGAGATTGTATCTGTTCCTATTGCCTCTACTTGTGAAGCGTATATTAACTTACTTATTCATTAATCTCTCAAAAAAGACACGTGCCCGATGTGGTTGATGGAAAGATAAATAAAATCATAGGTACGAAAGGGCTATCAAGTGTCCATCACATATTAGCACGAAACGCGAAATGTGAATTGTTCTACAATTATTTGAGATAGTCTATCAAAATCCACACCATTAAATTTAAGCCAACAAAATGCAATATAGATGAAAATATTGGTTCGTATCCAACTGGATAAAATATAATGTGATATCTGGCTCCGCTCTTATTTAGAAATTATCTTATAGAATGCTTAGTCACATATATGAATGAATATCTTTAATATTATTACAAATGTAAACTTTCACGTAGGTTTAATAGTTGATCATGAATGAAGCAGCTGACAAGTATTTATTGAGAATTAATTATCTACAAGACCCTGTGGTGAGTCTTAGGTGACGGAGCAGTTGTGAGCTGAAGGTCTCTACCTAACTTAAGGCAATTAAATCCTTGATAGAGACATAACATACGTTCAAATGACTAGATAATAAAGTGGACTAAGTGACTGATGTAGTATGAATTGTGTCCCTCCAAATTCGTATGTTGAATTCCTAACCCCCGATACTTTAGAATGTGACCTTATTTAGGAATAGGGTCACTGCAGATGTAATCAGTTATGATGAGGTCATACTGGAGGAGGGTGGGCCCTTAATCTAACATGACCGATGTCCTTATAGAAAGGGGAAATTTAGACTCAAATACATGCACACAGGGAGAACGTCATGCGAAGAGACACAGGAAGAAGAGAGCCACCTACAGTCCAAGGAGAGAAGCCTGAAACGTATCCTTCCCACAGTCCTCAGGAAGAGTGGGTCCCGCCGACATCTTGATTTTGGACTTCTGGCCTCCAGAACGGTGAGACAATAAATTTCTGTCATTTAGGCCACCTAGTTTGTGGTCTCTTGTTAGGGCAGCCTTAGCAAAATAATACAGTGGTGAACACAATTCTTCTCACAGATGAGGATTTCTCAACCTGGGCGCTATTTGGGGCCAGATAATTCTATGTGGTGGAGGTTCGACCTTCACATTGTAAAATGCAGCAGCATCCCTGGCCGCTAGCCGCCACATGCATCTCTCTCTCTCTCCCTCCCTCTCTCTCTCTCTCTCTCGCACACGCACACGCACACACACACGCACACACACCTCCTTCACTGAAACCTGCGCTATACCTACTACTATCTTCAAAGAAGAAGCGAGTTATAGAAATTCTCAGGAAAACTAAAACAAAAGTCTAGCTCAGTCCACTTACAATTTTCCCAAGTGCAAATAAAGCGCAGGACTTTCAAAAATAGAAAAACTTACAATCTGTAAATGAAATGCACAAGTGAAATCCCAAGTCTTCACCTCCAGATGAGAAGAGCTACATAGGAAAGCTGAGCTTTGATTGGAATCTTTATCAAACGATTACAAAATTCCAATGATATGACCCATCGAAAGAGGCATTACACAAATACGCTCCCTTAGCCAACTTTTAGAGTCAGACTAACAAGACAATGGTTTGGAACTTCAGCGTCAACAAACTTGAAGTGGGGCTATGCTGAAATTGAAGGGCAAGGAAAGGTCAATTTTTCTCAGTTTGTATATTTTTATAGGTCTAACTAGAGAAAAGAAACAAAAGCTCCAACATTGTACGTTGGAACAGAAGAAAAGGAATTACCGAATTGTAATTCCTTGAAAACTCTGGAATGCATTATATTAAATTCTCTTATATGTTATGTGGTTCACGGACCAAACTTTTAATCCAAGTTTGGAGGACCGAGAGGCTTCTCAAAATTCAATTAAAATGATGTAAAAAGGTCCACATTATGATATGCTCCATTTAGAGACTTATGCATTTGGCAGGAAGAATTTTCTCTTTTTATCTTAAAACAGAGTTCAGGAAATGCCGGTTTAATTTTCTCTTTGCTTCGATATTTTATGAGTGCTTTCCAATGTACGGTCTCTGAAAGCATTAGATTCCTGACATGATGCTATTTCAGATGATGTGGAAGATTTAATGTGTATGAATTCTACATGTTGGGATTTTTATGTTTTTTCTTTATGCCTAGAAAAAAAGCTGTAATATACGAAAATAAATTCCAATTCCTTAGATAAACACATGTATGCTGAGACCTAATATGAGTAAAAATGTCCACCAAAGTTTAGTGTCATTGCTTCCTAATAGGAATAATTAGCTTCCTAATTATTGCAGAATTCCCCTCCTCAAATAATGGACTTTCACGAACAGAAGGACAAAAATATTTTCAAACAGGAGACGCCTGAGTCCTTACATATCCAAATTAGTAAAGCAAATCTATCGCCCAGTCAATGAAAGCATCCTCAAATTTCTCCATGCTTTATTTGCGTCTCCACGTCATCACAAACCCATTTCTGTATGAAATGCTAAAGCCTCAGAAAAATATACTTCCGGGACACATTTACTTTTCCAGCCCCGAATAATAATTAACAAAAATACTCTCCCTTGGTTTTGGTCCTTTCGTGATACCATTATTTTCTTCAAAAATTAATGTTTATGTTATACTAGGTTTGCAAAAAACCAAGGAAGCACATATGTTCATAAATACGTGACAACTGAAATACCATAGACGCCCAAATGTCATCTATGCCCATGGCTTTTTTTTACTCTAACATAACTGGCATGTTTTAGAACAAACATGCTATGGTAGCCTGTTATTTGTTTAAATGCTTATAAGCACATTTTGTGAAAGGGCTGTAAATAAATGCTCACATTTTGTTGAGTGGCTATAAATGCATTTCAGTGCACTGGGTGTTGTTTACATGCTTATATTTCTGTAATTAGAAGAAAAAAATATGCTACATTGTAATTGTCAGACTCCTCACCACCCCGGTGACAGTATCAATGACCGCTAACCTACTGGTTTGATTAGACGAATGTACGGGGCTCATAATTGAAGAGTTTCATTTTTATGACAAAAAGCAAAGCAGGACAGTATCACTTCATAAATTTGGAGATGTTATATAATTAATTAAGGACTCCTGTGACATTACGCAATTAATGAGAAAAACCCGACCGTCGGGTTTAAATATCAAACCTGGGAGCTGATGACTATCGAATATCGCTATGAAATATTAACAAATGATCGTTAAAAACACAGTATTGATCCGATCAAAGGGAAATTTTTGATAAAGAAAAGAAGATCTGGCATGTTTACATTTTGGAAAAGAAACACACCTTTTATGTCCAATCATCCTAAACATTTTGTCCCCAACGAAAAATGAGCAGGGGCAGGGGGCGGATTATCTTGGTTTCTAAAATTTGATAGCCATATCAATTTCTGAGGAATCTGTTTTAGGGGCACAATTCATACGTGCACTGCTTTTTGCTATTATTGACTTTCGAGGTGTGTTTTTGGCGACCGTTGTGCACTGACTGCACTAGAAACCCAGTCACCGTCTATCTCCCCTTGTCTGCATCGCTAAATCCTTAGGCTGAACTTCTCTCCAAGTTTTAAAGGTGGATTTGCACCCGTGGTCATTGGGCACTTTGAGGCAGGCTGCCCAGGTGATGCTTTCGTTCCCCCAAGTGACATCTGGAAGCAAAGATTCACTTCAGCGTGTCAACTTCCTTCAGCATATCAAGAAACAGACAAAACAAATCACAGATGTGGTCAGTTAATCCTAGCGTCACCAAATAAAACTGTGAGGTCGCAGTGGACACAACCACCCACGTGTGCTAAGGAGAAGTGATAGGAACCATTTGTGAAAGGTGAGGATGTACCCTGAGTGGTAATAGTCTTTTGATCATGTGATTCATTTTTCGTTTGCTCAACAAAACAGTGTGTGTTTTTCCTGAGAGGAAAGCCTTCAATATATATTTACTCGGAGCTCTTAATTTATACTTCCTTTCCTTTTAATTGACGTCTTGTGAACTAAAATTAGCTGGTGAACCACAGTATCTCACTATCAGAGCAAACTCTCTTGGCTGAGGTTGCAATAATTAGACCCACCGTCGTCTGAAGTTGCGCAGACATCTGGAGACTTGGCTTATTTCCTCCCTAATGTATTCTATCCGTATTTAGAGAGACATTTTTTAATTTGACAAACAGTCGTATTAATTATCATTCCCTGTGCTGGAGTTAAATGAATAATTTCATGTTCAAAGTGAAGTTCAAACAGTTTTGCCCATGACATCACTGAATAAAAAGCCTACGCGAAAAAGAATTCTTTCGTGAAATCCGAGATGATCAGAGCATTCTAGTTCACCAATAAGCTGGATATCAGTTACGCAAGGAATAAAAGGTCACAGGTCCTCTAAAATCCCACATTTGCTACAGGCATTCCTCCTCCATTGTCTCGTTCGTGCGGTAACTAGATACAGGTACGATGCCAGTGAAATTAGTTTTCCCTGACGAGTGAGGAAAATAAATGCCCCACGAATGCCCAAAGCCAGATTTTACCTGCTGCCATTCCTTTCTGTCTCTCTCTCTCTCTCTCGATCTCTCTCCCTCCCTCCCTCCCGCAAGGACTGAAAATGATCCAGATTTTTGAAATGCACCCTCACCTTGACAATGGTAAAATTACAAGCAGCAGTCAACTTTTACAAGATACCCTCATTGTGTAACATTCAGAGGCTGCCAAAAAAACATGCTAAAACGGATCAGTTAACAAAGGTGAGGAGAAAACCTTCACGTGCCATGTAGCTAGCAGTGAATACACTTTTGATTTCCATGACATTTACTGGCGGAAAGGGGTTGGCTTAAGGCAGATTGGACTAACCTTCAATTTGTCATAGCGCTCACTCAAAGCTGCCACCTGATGATCTCGGTGCCGCCCAACCAGTTTACACAAGGCACAGATTAACTGGTCATCGGTCACACAGTACATATTCACCTTCTCATCCTCGTGTTCCAGGCACATCAGCCCCCGGATGTGTGAGTCTGGAATTGGCTCAATCAGACGATGGCCTGTAAAGGGCTTCTTGTTTGGGTGAGTGGCTTTCAGGCACTCGTCACAGTAGGACACTTCGCAAGTGACACAGGTCTTCACAGCGTCCTGGGCAGGATCCTGGTCACAGAACTGACAGAGGACTTTCTCGGCGGACGTCATGGCGTTGGCGTCGAATGCCCGCTCTCGGCGGGTCTCACTGGGGGAATTGGGTCCGCTCACGGATGCCTTCTGGAACCTATCGATGATGTTCTGCAGGGTGACGTTGCGCTTGAGCCCGTCTAGACCTCGCTGGCTGAGAGTGATGACATGTCTGCAGGTGGGGCACTGGAAGGCGGTGATAGACTCCACGGACTCGTTGGTGGCACAGTGTGACACCAGGATACGGTGGGCGCAGTTGAAGCAGAGGCTGTGTGCACAGGGTAGCAGGAGAGGGTCCTCGAAGAGCTCCAGACAGATAGGGCAGGTCAGCTCCGACTCCAGTGTTTCCATCTTCAGGCAAAGCTCTCTTGGGTCATCAGCAAATTCCAAGGAAGCTGATCAAGTGTCTGGAAACAGGACATAAGATCTGATTAGGCGCGAGGGGCCCAGCTGCGGGGGCTGTCGGCTTTGAAAGCATCTCAGAATAATTCCAAATACAGCTCACGGAAGGGTAAATCTGTGTACATTCCAAATAATTCTCTTTCTATTCACTAGGGAATTAAGCAGGGCGGGGGTGGGGTGGGGGGAACACCCTAAGCCAGCCTATCAGCTGACATTTTCTCAAAGTTCCAGTCAGCGGGTCGTGGGGGGCAATTTCGTTCCTTAAAAGGTTTTACTCCAAATTGGCAAGTTATCGAAACTATAATTTTCATAATTTGTATCTAATCACAATAATCTTATTGTGTCACAGCCAAGTTTTACCCTCCGTTGAAAATTAAAGTGTAGAAGCGTTAGTTAATGAACTACAGTTTTTCATAACTTTGAATTTATAAACTTACGTGCTCATATATATGTTGCAAGGACATTTTACTCTGCAATACCAAACCAGGCTTCACAGAAGGAGAAAGGCACTTATCGTAGAAATGGGCATGGAATGTATATGAAATCAAATGCATGATTTCAGCAGAAATAATGCTTAAATATAGCATGTCGATTTTCAAAATATATTCTTGAGGGAAAAAAACAGATTTCACAAAGACGATCGTGACAGAGGCAATGTTTTTGGCATATGTTTACTGCTCTACTGAATAATTCTATTGTTTAATCCGGGCAATGGGACGTCGGCGGGCAGAACGACGCGGAGAAAAATATCTAAGGGCCTTTTTAGTGGCCGCGGTGAGCTCGGGTACCAATGACCAATAACGATTTAGTCAATTAGAACAAGGATTTTAGTGGCTACGATATCCATTTGCTAAGTGGTAATAATCACGGTTTAGAAAGCAGTTTAAGGTAATGGTATCACTCCAACGTGGCTTGCAAGGGCTTCTGAGGGACCCCGAACAGCCCTCCTGGCCTAAAATCTCCCACCAAGGGCTCGTCACTGAAGCCAGCGAGCTGGCAGGAGGTCCAGCCTCACCCTCAGAGCGTGACCTCCACCAGCCTTGCCACTTCCCTCCAGGCCACCTTCGGGTGGCCCAGCTTCACGTTCCCCTCGCCTGAAGTCCTGCAGCTTTTTGTGAACTCTTGCCTGCCTTCTCTTCAAAAAGGGTAGGGGGATCCCACGTCAGCTCCAGTTCATTAAGGGGGAAGAGTCTCATGCTCATTAGCAGGCCTGGGAACCGAGCCTCTTTGAACCTTCTCCCTTTCAAGACCATTAGCAGAGGTCTGTGGAACAGTGCCGGGCATATTAATTGCAGCCCACTGCTGGCTGCGGGAGAATAGTGTGGTTCCCCGGGTGGGCGCAAGGTTCAAATCACCCTCCAGGGGGTTTTCTCAGCCAGATTTATGGGAAGCCTTCACATCCAGGGCAATGTTTAGGGATTCCAACAATCAGCCTTTTTGTATTCACACCTCCGTTTATTTACACAATTCTCAATTTCTGGAATCCCCTGACCCCGTCTGAAACAGCATCCCTCAGAAATACCATGTGGTGCTTGGGTTAAATTAATGCTCATCTTGCTACCAACTGAATGGGAACTGATCATTAAAAGTGTAGAGTTCTGTGCTGAGCTTGTTAAAAATTAAAGAGCCGCTGGCTCCACAGAAGCCTGGTATCTTAAAAAAAAAAAAAGAACCTTCAACCATTTGCTAATATTAACTACATAAGGAAAAAATAAATGGGTAGCCGGACAGGACATATTAAAGCTTGCTCGTCTTTCCACAACCTGCAATGGAACCCGATCCCAGGGCTGCTGTTGTGAGAAACTTATCATCCTTTCTTCTTCCCAGGCAACTCAACGTACAGGTGGCTTGGAAGCAATTGAAATGTTTTACCTACTGATCATTATTTTAGTTAAGCATGGAAAAATAGAATTATGCCTCAATCTAATTTCTTCTCTCTTCCCATCACGAACATGTAAATTAAAGTAAAAACGTAGCCCTTTTAGTCTGCTCTGTCGTCAGGTGCGACAAGGAGAACACTTACTGAAGGACCTCAACAGAGGGATGAGCGTCAATGACGTCTGGTCTGAGCTATGACGACAGTGTTTCTAAGTAGATGCCAGGATTCCATCCCAGAATGGCACGGCCTTTCTAGAAGTGATTCTATTGCTGACCACAATGGAAACTCGCATTTTATTCAACAGACATTTACTGAATGCCAGGCACTGCGCTGGCTCGAGAGGCCAGAATCTGGTATCTTCATCATCCGACCTCTATGATCACGGGCAAAGCGAAAATCATCTCTGTCCTTGATTATCGCGGTGCCTTTCTACATGATTTCCTATCTCCCCTCCCAACTGCACATCCCTCCATAATCTATCCTGCACTCAGAAGCCAGCAATCCTGTTCAAACATGACGGGACCCGCCTTTCTTCTGCTCTCCCCTCTAGGGGCTTCCCATCTCCCTCCCAGAGAAATCCACCAGAAGGAAACCAGCCTCTGAAAACAGAGACTCAGATGATGACCTCACTTCCTCCCACGCTACCCCTTGTTCTGCTCCGGGCACATGGCCCCGTGATTCCTGAAACATGCCAAGCACGTCCTGTCTCCCCCTGACAAGGTCTTGGAATCCACGTAACTCTCTGCTCCAGTGTCACCTTCTACGTGAACCCACGTAGAACCAATTCTCCTGCTGCCACCACAGCCACCCGTCCACTTGTCACGGCAATCGTTCTCCATCGCGGTTTGTTTTTCTCTGTTACATGTATCACCAACATATTCTATTAGTTTGTTCACGGTTCCGTCTCTCCCCGCTGCCACGCCACTCGAATACACGCTCTACAAGAGCAGAGACTTTGCTTTGCTCCTGGACGGATGTACCGCCAGTGCCCGAAACAGCGCTTTGCACATAGTAGGACTCGAACATTCACTGATTGAATTAATACACGTACTGAAGTTGGGGTTGAAACCGAAAAAGGATAAAACATAACCACTGCCTTTAAGGATCTCTCAGTATATTAGAACAGAGGCCAGCAAACTTGTTCTATAATGGGCAGGACAGTAAATATTTTTGGCATGTCAGGCCATATAGTCTCTGTTGCAACTGCTCGACTTTCATAATAGCAGACAAAAGGAGTCCTACACAATACGCGGATGAATGAGTGTGGTTATCCAACAAAATCGTGTTTACAAAAAGGGGTAGCAAGCTGGATTGGGCCTGCAGATCTTATTCTGCTGACCCATGTATTAGAAGAAAGAGACACGTAGAGCTAGCCAAAACATAAATAAAAATCACTCCCAGAGAGGTATGAATAAAATGCTGTGCGGGCGACAATGGCAATGACGGTAGATTGAGACTGACAAGAACATACAAGTTTCAAGTGCTAACGGGAAATGATATGTAATGGGATTTCACCCTGACATCAATGGAAAGAAATGATGTGAGCTGAGCGCTTAGGGGCAATTCATGTAAGGAAGATTTAATTGCAGCTGCTCAGAACTGGATCCTTTTCTTTTGCTATAGCACCTGGCGTGGTGCCTTGTGCAAGTGTCTACGCTGTAAATGATGGTTCAATGTATTAAGCGGAGATAAAATAGCTAGACGCAAAGTGAGCTTCAGCCAGTTTTCTGAATCTTTTGCCTATATCCGGCCCTAAAGGTAGGAGATTTTCGATCTGACGTCGATAATGGATCCCGTTTTTTCTACTTTCGTCCAGATGTTGCCACGATGTAGACATCATTCTTGTTAAACGACTCAACAGTACGTTACTAGTAAGCATGCGTGCCATCCCCTTGCCTTAAAAGTTAGCGTGGTTTGCTTTCTAGTTTTCTTTAAAGTATCTCTTTTGATAAGTGCAAATGCCATTCATTCTTTCGCCAAATACTGAAGTTTCTCTAGGTGCTTGGTCCTGGGACAAGGGCTGGTAACATGTGGCCCCTGCCTCAATGACCTTACGGTCCATTAGAAGAGAAGGAATACGAACAAATTGTTATGCAACGTAACAAAAGACACATGTCAAGGACTGGGTGAAGAGGATGGGGAAGCTTCCTGAAGTAGGCAACATGCGAGGTGGGTTCTAGAAGACGAACAGGGGTTCGCCGAGAACACAGAGGTAAGTGGGGGTAGATTCTGAACATGTTGTCTTTCTGGAACTCCCATAATTTAATTTGCAAGCCTAAGGGGGAGGGGGAGCGCGCCCGCAACTTCTTAGCTGTCACTACAATGGAAGGAAATCACACTTGCATATCATTGCCAGGAAATCCTATAGGTCAACACTTTTCTGAATGGGCTGACCGGTCCTCATTCAGAGGAGGATGTGGGAAACCACGGGAACCCCTTGCGACAAACCGGGAATGGCGACGACTCACGGCTCACACTTCTGCTCGTCCAAGGTTTGCAGTCTAGAGCAGGGCGCAGAATTGTGAGTGAAAGGAAAGAGCTGGAGGGGTGACCAGACGATCTAGAATGGTCCACGGCTCGGCTATTTATCAGCTGCGTGTCCCTGGGTGAGTATTCACAGATGTTCCTTCCAGCGCTCACAGTGATCACATCCCTAAGCAGGAGAGTCTTTAGTCACAAGTTACCTTTGAGCCCTGCATCCTGGGACACAGTGAATGCAAGGTGTCTTTCAAGAAACTTCCTTACAGATTCAAGACTTCTGAGGAGAGCAGTTCTTTAAAATGGAAAATTAATAGATGGATATTTCAGAGGAAAACAATGACTATGTATTTTTACACTTCTCCCTCTTTCCTTCCCTCTCTCATTCTGTGTATCACTAAAATTATGCTTTTCTGGTTTTCCTCTGTAACCGCTGCTGACTTCTTGCAGCTAACCAAAGTCAAGGTGCTTTCTAAAGGTCCAGCTTTCCTTCAAAAAGCCAGGCTGTTCGTTCATTTCATGTTCTGCCTCTGATAATGACTCCTAGGCATGGACCTCAAATGCCATCTCTTTCCAGAATCCCAGTTCAACACTGACAGTTCTTTGCTTCATTTCCTCTAAGTGCCCCAACTCAGAGTGTGCATGTCA